AAAAAAAAAGTATTAAAATTCTCTATTTGAATTTTCAAAAATAATTTCTTACTCTCTTCCCGAAAATAATTTTAAGTTATGCTCCTATAATACTCTAATTATGGTTTAATATTAATTTCTATAGTATAATATAATATTGTTTACATAAAACCTCCCTTACTAGATCATTAATAATATATTTTAATATTATTAATTATTTTGAATAAATCTAGAAATTAGTCTATAATAAATAGTCTATACATTTTATTTCTCCTATTAAAAGACCGTGTAGAGCCGGCCGTCTACCCCAAATAACACTTATTGGGTTGGTATTTTTTGTTAATGACACGAAAAATTGCAGAAATCAAATGGTACCTCATCCAGACGTCCCTACTAAGATACTACCACCTGAAATTTTTTTATCTATTTTTGCCCATTAAATTATTTTTTCCTTGAAATAATGTAAATTTATCAGGAAAAGTATTTTATATATTTGTAGGGTGTTCAGAAAATAAGGAAACGAGATTCTACTCTTCTCATTATTTGTAACAATTCGCCTGTTTCCTTACTTACTAAACATTCTGTATATTGAAACGGCAATCAATGTTAAATATAACTTCTAAAATAAAAAATGGTCTTATTAAGAAAATCGCAATAACAATTTTTGAATTATTACATCAGGAGTTACGATGATTTTAAAATATAGACTATAAAAGATTAACGAGTATGATTATATCATTAAATATTTCTCTGCCGCACTTCTCTATCACCTAGTAATAAAAACGTTAAAAATTTTTAAAATTCTGGTTCGAAAGTTGCTATCGACTAGTTATTTTATTAATTAGATTGTTATTTATTAAATAAGTTAGTTAATTATGTATATTTCCATTTTAAAAAAATGGCAAATTTGATACCCTTATAAGATATAAGAGGTTAATATAAAAAATATTTAGTTGTTAATAAATTGATAAAAACGTGTAACAAAAGTAAAACAATTTTCAATGTTATTTTTATTTTTTGACTACAAAAGATACACAATTTTTATATCATTTTTTTCGTATTAAGGATAAATAATAAAAAATATGCTTATATGTAGTCTAAAAAAACAATAATTATGTTGTTGAATTTTATTTTTTATGTAGGCATTATTTAGTGGTATGCGTCACAACTATTATCACCGATAGTTTTTCATTGTTATATAACGTATTATGTTGTGTTGTAGTGAAAATACATTTTGTTTCTATTAAAACCAAAGTAATATTTTTATGTTAAACTATGATACCAATTAATTTTTACACAACTTATGATTGGTTTTATTAGTTATTTTTATATAATCATCTACATGTAATAATAATTACCTTAGACTAAAATTAAAGCATTTTTGTTATTAATATTACTGTTATTTATCCCTGACACTAATGGTGAGGTGTATAGATATGCACATAACGGTAGTCACCATTTGATATCTCCACACCCATTATCTCTATTATTTCTCATGAATGTAATTGCATCAGTTTTTCCAATGGCAAAAGATAGTCCCTAGCAGTCGACATTCAGCCTCAACCGTTTTAATTGGTGTTACTGATTCCTGTCAAGTGTAAAAATAATCAGTTTGCTAAGGATGGTGGACTCCTTTCTCATATTAAGGAGTCAATTGTTCTTAGCTAAGCCAATGATGGACCTAATAGATATTATTATCGATTTTCACTAGAGACCAAATACCATCAATGAAAAAATCACAAGAAAAATCTTGTTGGCACCATGAAGGTCGAACCCAAGATCTCGGGTTCGAAACATATAATCGAAACATAAATTTTTACTCACTAGGCCAGGACGACTCCTAGACTTTGGTCCAGTGTAAGGGCATAAAATCTTCACGTTAAATAGTAATGCACTACTCGCATTTAAATACAAAGTATTATAGTATTAACAATGTAACAATAAATATTTTAAAAAACATAAATTAAAATTTAACATTTATAGAATGTCTTTATTGTCATGAAATTCCCAGCTACGCTAAATAATCATTCAACTGATGCACTAGATAAAAACCTATAGTAATAGATTCTTCTTTTTTTTCTAAAACTGAAGGATAAGAAAGTAAAATATTCCTATTACGGCTTTAATTTTTAAAATAAGACTTCAGTCTTCTTGTAATAAAATTATATACTTGGATAGAATGCTTTCCTGAAAACCCTGGGAAATTTTTTTAAATAATTATTTAACCTAAAAAAATCATGGAGTTTATATAGTCTTCAATACTCAACGATTTTGAGGGATGTACATTTATTCTAAATACCAACATTTTAATGCAAAAATTAATTATACAATAAGTATTTGATGTTTGTCTAATTAATAACATAATTAAGAATTCTTTGAAACACAAAAAAGAATTTTATAATACAAAATGTGAATATTAAAAATTGTTGGGCATCAACTTTGATTATCTTGACAAGAGTAATATGTTTTATTTAATAAATAGGATATGAAATGATTATTAGACTTGATTTTATGATTCAAATAAGAATTTCTAAAGTTAATCAAAAAAATGGTTCACTTACTAGATCAATAAAAAATATAATTTTCTTAGTTTTCCATACTTTGAATTGACGGGTCATTGTTTACCCATTAAGAATAATTTAAAACAAAGGTAATAATTGGGTTGCTGTCGAAGTAGATTTTCATTACTATAAAACATTTTCGAATAAATTGTACGATTTATAACTTTAACATTCCCCATAACGCCTATAATTTTCTTTTTCCATCTTAAATATATTATTGAATTAGTTTTATATTAATCTAGGATTAAAATAGTCAGATTTTTTGGTTAATTATTAAAAATTGAAAACAAAAATGATAAAAATATTTTCAAGACTCCACAATACATTAGTATTGTCCAATTATTAGATTGAATTTTCAAAAAAAGTGTGTCGTTTGCAAAGTTGATACTTGGTAATTTTTTAAAACATTAACCTAACTTGTGCATATGACACAGTTACAAAACGTGACTTACTTTTAAAATCAGCAAAATTATCAAAATTAAAAACACGGCCGTATAAAACTTATCGATAATATACTATTAGATCGGAAGTTCAGAATAGATCTGAATGGAAAAGAGAGTAAGTACAAGTATCATTAAAACGGTCTTCCTCGAGAATCTGTCCTCTCCTCAGTATTATTTAATGTTTATACATCCGATTTTATAATTAAAATATTACGTAAATTTATGTATGCAGACGATGTGGGATTAGTAGTTCTTTGAAAAACTAGAGGAGCTACTAAACGAAGATCTGTCCATTAATCAAAAATATTTTAAATTGTAGCACCTAACACTCGATATCAACTAAACGGCCACCTAAATAACCGATAATCAAACAGAAAATTCGACATAGTGATTCAGGGAGTCAATATAGGAGCAGATGAGGCCTCGTTATATTTAGAAATATACCATTAAAATATATATTTTTGCTAGCACAAACCAAACTAAAACTCTTAATCCAGAGCAGTTGCGCCTCGTGGGTGTTGATGGTGGGGATGCGACTTTAAATATAATACTGCTAGTCATAGGTATAACAAATTTTCGATTTAAATATAATAAAATAAAACACAATACACAAATTATTATTTTAAAGGTCGCAGTAGAAAATAGAAATGGAAATAATAATAATAGCGATTAATTCATAATAATTATAAATTATACTATAATTTATTTATAATAATTATAGCGATTTATTATATCAACCGATAACGACGAGCAATTAATTACATGCAATTAATTCTAAAAATAAATTACCCAATATAGTAATATACTAATATTGTACCGTATGGATGACATTACAGGTCGTCCAAAATATGTACATAATATTGCAGCACCTCCCTTTTATTTTACGTTCCTGCATATTGTTCGGACAACGCTGTCGGTCGACCAAACACTACTCGTGTGTGCGTGCATAACTGCTGCATATACTAAGGGAAATAAGTTTAATGTTTATATATGACAAATGTATTATAACTATTTAACTATTTAAAAATTTGAATTTTTAATAAAAATTTAGAATTCAGAATATACGATTCATTTTTTTCTTTCAATTAATTTTAGTAGGGGGTGCGATCGTTCCGTCATCTAAACAATGACTTCAATAAAAATAAAAATTTTAATTTAAAAAAACTTAATTCGTTCAGTATAATTCTTCTATAATACATTCCATATACGACTAATTTTATTTCCAATATCAAATATCGATCCATAATATCGATCGTTCATGGACTGCTTAACAACACTCTAAAAATCAAATTCAGAAATCAAGTTTCGAAAGATTGCGATACCAAAAAAAAAAATGTTCTATTTTAACAATTGTTAAAATTTTTACTTACTTTTTAGTATTCAATTTTACCAAGTTAACCAACTTTCTAAGATTTCTACTTAAAGAGAAAATAAAAAAAATAATAAATTTCAGAATGAACACCCTAACGTTTTTCTTTATTCAAACAATTTGAATAAAGAAAAACATCAGTGTAACAATAATTGTTATAATGCTTAGCATGACATTGGATCTATCAAGTGACTATTAAAGCCAATCTAATTATTCTAAACAAAATTTTATTTATTGTTTGTGAATAATTTTTGACTTAAAAATAAAATGAATTTTTTTGAAAAAATTATAAAATAAGAGCATCAGTAAATAAACTTCTAAGAGTTTTTTTATATTTTTAAATTCTTTATTTATTATACCATACACATTTAATTATTATATAGTTTTTCAATGAAAAATTATCTATTAAAAAAATGTAAAATATTTATAAACGACTTACACGAGAAATCTAAATAATTAATGTACTTTGAAAATCAGAACTTTCTATTTTCGATTTTTTTTTTTTAATAACCGGCATTGTCATTCAATATTAGCATTAATTCTTGGCGATGTTATCCTAACTACTCTTAATTTAAATAGATAAATATTAAACACGTTTGATTTTGTTAAAATGATTTAAATTTGTAACGAATGTAATTTTGTATTTAGATTATCAAAGGACATAACTGATACAACATGGTTTGAAGATGAATCGGACCTAATTAAATGCTGTGGTGCTCTACAATCAGCATTAGGTTTACCTAAAAGTTTTAGCAGTAGTGATATAACTGGTATCGAAAAACTTAATATTGATTACTGGACTGGCATAGAGGACATGGACGACGGTAATTTACCAAGAAGTACATCTGAACTTGTTATAAATAAGAGTCGTATCGGATCAGACGTGTTTATGTTGAGTGCTGTAACAACAGGCGGTCGTGTTTTGGATAATACATCTCGTTCGTTGTCCACTTACGTTGCTGTTGGTGACATGATACCGATGTCTCAATTACCGTCACCTAATAGACATTCTGGTTCACTACAAAAAAACTATCCATCACTATCCACGTTTAGTACAACAGACCTCGTTATGTCGGTTAATAAAAAGGTATGTATATATATATATATACATACATAGATAAATAGATATATGAATTATTAACTTTAGAAAGAGGATAAGTCCATTTTTATTAGTTTTTATTTTTTTATTAGACAATAATTAATACATCATTTGCTACTAAAACTGTCAACTTTGACCGTCCAACCATCATATATAGCGTGTAATTAACATATAATGGAGATGTCCCATTTTTGCAGTTAACTATTATAGTAAAATTTATTATGTATTGTTATTTTCAGTTTATCTTAGTTATATCAATTGATAGACAAAACTACCAATTTTCTATTTATATCATGTTTCGCCAATATAATATTAATATTGTCCTAACATTTAATTTATAAAAATGTATTTCCAATTCGACTTTAAGTAGAAATATCTAAAACTTTAAAAAGAAAGTATGGTGTGACAAATAGTAACCGATATATTATTTCCACCAGATAATAAATACCTAAAAATGTAGAAATGCAGAAACAACATGTTAATATGACGTACAGTATTGAACAATATTAATCAATATTTTGTTATCACATAGTATAATTTTCTTTTTAATAATATTTAACTTTTATTCATTTTGATGGACCTCAATGATATGGTAAATTATTAAATCTATGAAAAGATGTGCTAAATTTAATTTTTTTAAGTATGATCACTTTTTAATCCAATCAACATTTGAACGGTTCGTGTTAACTCTAGCCGGTCCACTCAATATAACCAGACCAGTCAGGGGAAGAAAAACACACTTTGTTGCACCTATGGATATTATTGTTAATATCTAAAGTAATTTAGAATCCCTTCAAACAAAATTTTACTGGAGAGCAAGTAAAAAATTTAAATATAAAATTATCTATAAAAAAAATTGTGCAAAATGTTTGCTCATATATTTGCTATTTTTGTGATTTTATGATTTTAATTTATTTGTATAATATATTTTGAACTAAACATTCATTTTTCGTATGAAATCATTTATGTTTATTGTATGTTTAATCATATTTAAATAAAAATCTCCATTTGTTGTTTTATAGGGATTCTAAATTTCGTTTAATTCAATTACTTTTTCAAATTTATCCCTAGTTCAACCACTGTATGCTATTTTAGTTTTTAAAATTTTAAGATACTTATAAAATTATTTTAGTTTAATGTTTTTTTTTTTTAATAGGTTCGACAAAACTACATTCAGCGTCGACTTGTGATTACTTACAAAGCATTAGAGCGTCTGTCACATAGTGAATTTAACTTGGACAGCTTGACTTTGAAAATTCCACCGCCGGACGTTTGCGAGTCACAGCCAAGTAAATATTTAAGTGTGCCACAGTCGGGTGGTAAAAAGCTGAATCGAGGAGATATTTTGACGTGTGCGGACTCTATAAAACGTTACCAACCAAAACCATTTTCGCAGTTCGATCGTAATATGTTTATATTCAACTGGTTACATGATGTAAAACTTGAAGCTAAGGTAGAAGACTGATAAAAAGAAATGATTAACAAAATAAAACTTTTTTCATAAAGAATTATTTTTAATGCTTCTTTTTTTATATATTATGACGTTGAAATTGTCAAAGCTATTAATATTGTTGCATAAAGACAAAAATAATTATTGTATTCCAATTAACCGTTTACGTTTTTGTTTCATTTATATTTATTGAATATTTTCTTAATATTAGCTTCGATGCAAAGCTTAGAAAGTATTAATTTTATATGATGTGTTTTTTTTATGTCTATTGCCACTTATTTATTTTCTAAGGTCTCGTCACACCATTTTCTTTAAATGATACGTCAAAAAATCACATTTCGTATCTAGTTGTAGACATTGTCCTTAAAAATTGAAAACATTTCCCTCGTTCCCTGTAAATGGGGAAAATCCTCCAAAAAATTACGATTTTTAAAATCGCTAAATTTCGACCTTTTTTAAACTATTTTTCTTGAAACTGCTATAACTTTTTGAATAATGAACGAATTAAAATAAGTTTTATTTATATTGAAACATCAGGAATTATACCTTTCAATCAATATAAATTTTTTGTAAACCTTCCCGCAGAGAGGGATTCCAAATAGCAATTTTTTCAACTTAAATTTTGAAAATGTTTCAGTAATACTGCATCCTTTAAACATATATTAAATTAAAGCTTATTATATGTATTATAAATTAAAAAACAAAAATTTATCCTGACTTATGTGTGTTTGTGCAGCCACTACCGTGAGTTGGCTCTACAGTTTTTTAGGGACCTCATTGATGTTTCGCCAACTCTTTCTTGCCATCTTCCATATCAATAATTTATTGTTATAGGATAGTTTGATAAGTGATTATTAGTGGAGTTATTTTGATAACAGATTATAGCAACATCTTTATCACATAAATTGATATTTAATAAATTTACCTCTCTTCTCATATTGATAAGTAGATTTTAATATTTGAATAGTATGAATTAACAGTGTAGGAAATATGATTACGGGTAGTAATTTATTGATTTTGCGCATTATTATTTGAAATGTATTTCTTCATTTACTGCTGTGGTGTTAATATAAACTTTAAAAAGCAGTACTACTTCCTTTCTGTATGTAGTAATATTTAAACTTGGAAATATGTTATATTTATCGTTAAAAATCCCCTACTTCCACGTAATAATACTGAATTAGTACAAATTAGTAAATTAGTATTTGTTAATAAGGAAAACATTAAATAATTATGGTTCTGCTTTTATTGCGGCTTTTCAATGTATACAATGAAGTAGAATTCTAGTGGTATATTATAAGAGATGAAATTTATAAAATGAATTCATACATCTGATGAATTTTTTGTTGAGATAGTGTAAAATGCTCACCTACCTTGTCTATATAAGCCTACTTATACATAAATATATATATATATATATATATATATACAATGAAGTGGAATTTCACTGCCATATTACAGGACACGAAATTTATAAACAAAATTACTACGTGATATTCGCTAGTCAAGTTTGGATGCCACACCGTATTCTTAAATGGAGTGAACGAGTGAAAAATAGAGATAATGACGAAAACATTGTGGGAAAGTAAAAAGGCTGGTATGACGCTTACAAATCCTAAAACTTTTAAGGTTTTACCAACGATTATGTTGTTATGAATGTTGAACGATAGCTAGACAATCGAATGAAATCCTAAATCGATAACTAAAATTACACGCTCTAACACGGTATTATCTAGAGAGTAAAAGTGAAGAAGAGGATCATGCTTACTAATAAATGTTACAATGTAACATTTATTTAAATTAAGCGTGAGGCCAATTCGATTAAACTAGCAAACAGAGGAATCTATATTGAAAAATTAGCAAAATATTATATAGAAAATAGAAAAGAACATGAAATGTTAAAAAAGAGTAAATGTAAAACTGTTGCAAGTCAATATTAATGATATTTCAGTATAATAGACTGTTGAAACATTAAAATAGTTAATATGGTATTTAGTTTTTATTTACATGCCAAACTCTTTTTATCCAAAAATTTACTCTTATAATTTTGATCCAGCGAATGAGAACTGGATCAAAATATTTTCCTAATATCAAGAGTATTTTTTCACACGTTGAATTAAAAAGTATTTTCTAAAATTATCGTCTAAGTTTCACACGATTATTATTTTGGGTTTCATGCGAGTTCAGACCACTTATTTTCTAGTGTAGCTTTTAGAATATAAAGGGAACAACTGTTGCTAGCATTCATATCTAGACATTAGCACGTATAGAATAGAATTTAATTTTTAGAAAAGAGAGTTTAACTAATCTAAGACAAAGAAATGAATAAATAAACAATTTTTTTATAGATAAATTTATTCTTTTTATTCCAACAGTCAATAACTACGGTGGAGTAAAAATTAAACAGTGTTACAAATGTACAAAAATACAACGTGGTCATCCAAAAAAAAGATGATATTATATTACGCCTGTTTTCTAGTCTACTTAAAGTTGATTTTCACGAAAATTTATTAAAAAAAAAAAAAAAATTTGAATTTATTTGCAGAACTATTTTTTAGGTTCAATATAAAACTTCGAAATTATCGACATCGTTGAATTGTAAAATCTATGAAAATTTAAAATTTGGTATTGTTTAGATTGATATGTAATCTGAACTTGTATAATTCTCCTGTTATTAGTATACTTATAAGAATCGCTCACACAATTCTGTTAGTCACTGTTTTTTTGCAGTTCTATCGTACTAAATAATTCTAATAGAAAGCTCAATAATTAATTGGGGAAACTTGTAGCGTTATCTGTACACTTTTGTGGGATTCGTTCAAACACAGCAAACAGTCTCTCTGATTTTTGACGTATCACGCGTAATTTAAGAATTTCTGTTTGGCCCATATATTTATAATAATAATCCAGTGAGTACTCTCGTTCATTTCAAAATCTATCAGTAATGCAGAAAGGACTAAAAATCTAGATATGCTCCTAAAAACATTGACTTTTTCAGCCTCAATTTTTTTTTTTTTTTTTCATTAATTAGTTATTAGCTTCGATGCGAAGCTGAGAAGGTATTGATTTTACTATGATGTGTTTTTTTTTTTTTTATGTCTGTTACCACTTTTTCTCAGCTCTCACCGAACCGATTTCTTTCAATGATACGTCAAAAGATCACAAATCGTATCTAGTCGAAGACATTTTCCTCAAAAATTAAAAAAAAATTCCTCGTTCCCCGTAAATGGGAGAAACCTCCAAAAAAATTACAAATTTAAAAAACGCTAATTTTCGAAATTTTTTCAATTTTTTTTACTTAAAATTGCCATAACTTTTTCAAAAATGAACATATCAATATAATTTTTTTTTTATATAGATGTTTGATGTTTTTACTTATCATTTTTTATATATTTTTTGTAAATCTGACCCTTTATCTGCCCACATGGGGGGATTTAAAATAACAACTTTTTTACAAAAAATTAATTTTTTCAACTTAACTTTTGAAAGTGTTCCGGAAGTCTGACACTTTTATATATATGTTAAATTAAAGCTTATGTAATCTACTTTATTATGTAAAAAGAAAATTTCGGACTTTATTTTGTCTTCACGGTGAAAATGGCTACCAAATGCTATTATTGTGTGAAAATTCTCAATTTTATTTTTTACATTTGCTTCGATGCGAAGCTGAGAAGGTATTGGTTTTACTAAA